AAGTGAGGTTAAAAACCTCAAGATCAAAGAGAGTCTGGAGTAGAGTGGTGTGGACCCAGGGAGCCTGTGCAGAGAGCCTCCTAGAAGCAGTAAACAGTCAAAGACTGTAGCACTCAAGATGATGAGGGCTGGGAATTGCCCCAGCAGGTGACGAGAGGCCCAGCGGGGCCATGATGGCAGTGGCGGAGGGCTCAGAAGGCCTGCAGGTTGAGGCAGCTTACACAGCTCCTGTAGCGGCTATGAGTTGGGTCAGTCAGAAGAGAGAATTGGTGAGAGAAAGCAACTAAGAACCGAGCAGCTGTTAAAGTGGCCATGAGCTGGGCCAGTTAGTAGCGGAGAGGCCTGACAACAGCAGAGGCAATGAGAGAATTGTCCTGGTTGGAAGCCGTCTCGCACTGAAGACAATCTTGCTCATGTGCTTCCTGACCTTGCTTCCAAGTTGATCTTGTTACTTCCAAGTGATTCCAGTCCTGAGCTGTAGTCTGTTACTTCCAAAACAAACATGTAACTGCGTCATGATCTGAGAGTTCTACATGGCCAGTGCAATGGAGTACTGAAATAAGGCATGGCGGTCAAGGGAGGGTGATGAAGTTGGAATGGTATTACGACTGATCTCCACCTCATATAAACCAGCTTTGTGCCGATCCTGATTCTTACTCCTGGAGAATTGAGGAAATGTCTATGCTGCACGCAGAGACAGTTCCCAATTTACAGCTGAGGCGTCGTGTTGCCTGAAGAAGAGAAAGACCTGAAAGTATTGATCTAATCACCATTTTTAAGACACAACTCACCGTCACCGATTCGATTTGGACTCACAGTGCCCTATAGGAAAGGGTAGGGCCGCCTTAGTGGGTTTCTGAGACGCTCTTTACAGGAGTAGGAAGTCTCATCTTTCCCTCCAGGAGTGGCTGGTGGTTTCAAACTTAAAAATACAACATAACACACAACATTCCTAGCCCAAATTCTAAGCATTCCTTTAGAAATTGATCAGCTTACTGCCACTGAATTTATACTAGACTTCATTCAAAAACTTCCACTTCCGAACATAAAAATAAAACCATGAAAGAAGCTGTAAATATGTACAAGTCCTGGAGAGCATATATTATTAAGAGTGGTTACTGGAGTGGGGGAGAAATGATTTACTTTATACTTTAATCTTCACAAGAAGCACTGCTGTTTAAACCAAAACGAGAGGGGGGAAAAATCTACCTTTTAGTATTTTGATGAATTTCTCTCAATCAGAGATATACAAGGATAAGTAAAAAGTATAGCTACTAGGGTTTTTGCTGAAGATAATTTAAAATGGCTCTAACAATATGCTGCCAGAAACGCAAGCCAGATTCAGAATAGGATGTGGAACAAATGCTGACATCATCACTACTGACATCAGCTGGATCTTGAAAGCTGAGACTACCAGAAGGATGCTTATTTGTGCTTTACTGCCTATGCAAAGGCATTCAACTCTGGATTATAACAAACATGGACAACATGAGCACAAACAGAAGTTCTAGAACACATCATTGTGCTCATGTGGTGCCTGCACATAGGCCAAGAGACAACTGTTTAAACAGAACAAGGGAATACTACCTGGTTTAAAATTCGGAACAGTGTGCATCCTTTCACCAGATATACTGAATCATATGCTCAGCAAATAATGTGAGAAGCTGGCCTATATAAAGAAGAACATGGCACCATGAACGGAGGAAGGCTTATTAACAACAGATGCGGACAGCACACACTGCTTACTGGAAGTGAGGAGGACTTGAACACTTGTCAAAGATCAAGGGTGGCAGCCTTCAATATCGATTACAACTCAATGTAAAGAAAACCCAAATCCTCATAATAAACAGAGAAAAGATGGACACTGTCAAGGGTTTCATTTTACTTGGCTCCACAACCAACGCCTGAGAGTGCAGCAGTCACAGAATCAGTCAACATATCGCACAGAGTAAATCTGTTGCACGGGACCTCTTTAAAGTGTTAAAGGGCAAAGATGTCACTTTGCAGACTAAGGTACACCCGACACAAGCCATGATATTTTCAATCACATAATATGCATGCAAAAGCTGGAGAATAAATAAGAAAGACCAAAGAATTGATGTCTTTAAATCATGGTGTCGGTGAAGACTACTTGACGTACTGTGGGCTGCCCAACAAAACATGAACAAATACAATTAGAAGCAAGGACGATGAGACTCTGTCTCACGTATTTGGATGCTATCAGGAGGGGCCAGTACCGGGGAAGGATGTCATGCTTGGTAAGGCAGAGGAAGACCCTCAAGGAGAAGAACTGACACAGCGGCTGCAGCAACGGGCCCCAACACAGCAGCGACTGTGAGAGAGGGTGGCGCAGGGCTGAGTAGCGCTTCACCTGCACATAGGGTGCTTGTGACTTAGAACCAACCCAACAGCACTTAAGAACCACCACCGGCGAACGATCTGAAATAAGAATCTTTCCAACAGCATCGAAAATAGAATACTTCAGAATACAAAAATAGAATACTTCAGAATACAAGACTGCACCTGGAAAACTACAAAAGATGCAAATCGGAAGATGTAATACCAATAAGTTGGTCATGTTTCCCAGATGGCCTTGCCGGGGTCCTCAAACTACGGCCCGTGGGCCACATGCTGCTCCCCAAGGACATTTATCCGGCCCGCCGGGTGTTTTTGCTCAGTTGTCATATCACTTCAAAAGAAGATATGCGCAGTGTGCATAGGAATTTGTTCATAGTTGTTTTTAAAACTATAGTCCGGCCCTCCAATGGGTCTGAGGGACAGTGAACTGGCCCCCTGTTTAAAAAGTTTAAGGACCCCTAGCTAGAGATTCAAGACTCTCTATCAAAACTACTACAGTCTTTTTGTCAGGAAGAGAAAAGTGGGTTTTAAAGTTCATGGAATGACAAGGGCACTCAAATAGCCAAAACTTCAGTTATGAAGAAAGAGAAGACTATCCTGGCTACAAATCTTACTACAAAAAGCTACTGTTATCAATCAGTGCAATCCTGTTTTAAGGATAAGCATATATGTCAGTGGACTAGAATCCAAAAACAAACTCATATGTCTATCATCAATTGATTTCCTTCTCCTAAATCTTACAATTTAGTGATGGATTGGTTTCTTTTTACAGGATGAGAATATCACTCAATGAGCAAAGAATAGTTTCTTTAACAAATGACACCCAGCAAGCGACTTGTACATCCATGACTGACAAAAATCTTCTGGAACGGGTGATGATGGTGAGGGATTATGAATGTACTGTGTACCAATGAACTGAAAAATTTTAAATGGATAAAATAGTGTATTTCATTATGTAACTTTTACAACTTTCCCCACTGAACGTACGCTGCTCCCCAACACTTAAGAATAGTCCTCAAGACCTGCCTTGAACTTCCTCTTTTATCTCACTGTCCCAGCCCCCCCATGCATGACATCCTCACTGGTTTTGAACAATTCAGATTGCTGCAATCCAGGCGATATCTACTGCTTGGTAACGAACTCTGCTCAAACCTTTATTCAACAAATAGTTGAGTGAGTCCCCTGTTTTCCAGACAGTGTATTAGGTACTCACAACAAATTCACAGCCATCGAGTTGATTCTGACCCCTGGTGACCACTGTGAATTTCTCTCTTTTTTTCTTTCAAAACCATTTTATTGGGAGTTAATACAGATATCCTATCATTTCACAGTTCAATCACATCAAACAGAATTGTACAACTGCTACCAAGTTTCAAAGGATTCTCTTCCTTCTTGAACTCCTTGATATCAGCTCCCCTTTACTTACACAATGTGGGTTTCTGAAACTAACTCTTCTCAGGAGTAGAAAGCCTATCTTTCTCCTGTGGAGCCACTAGTGGCTTCAAGCAAATGACCTTGGCATTAGCAGACCAACATGTAACCACTATGCCACCAGGGCTCCTGTGTTAGAACTAGAAATATAGTAATAAAGAACAACAACAAAAAAGTCAAAGTCCCTGCCTTCAGGAACTCTTAATCTAAGCAGGCATGGTAAAAGGCATTAAACGGGCACAGTGCGTTATGTAACTGAAATGAGTAGGTGCCCCCAGGTAGAATAGGATGCCATGGCAGCACATCACAGAAGGCCCCTCCTTAACAACTAGGACGGGAAGGAAGGGTAGGAGAAGGGTTTCCTAAGAAGATACATTTCAGCAGAGCCCTGAAGGATAGGAAGTGAGTTAAGAGTAGAAGCGCCCTAGTAGACATCCTTGGGGCAGGTCATGGGGATGCTAGGCCTGGAGAGAGGTGAAGCTCTTAGCTGGCACTCACACCCACTTGGCTCAAGCGCCCACTCTCCCTGCCCTGAACATAGCGGTCCAGGGGCTCAGAGATCTAGAATTGCTCTTAGTAATTTTTCAGAAGACCATTCTACTTTCGTTCTCTGAGAAACTAAGGTCCCGGTTCCATCCCTTTACAAGCCTTTTCTTGCGTTCCCTCCTTCGTGCTTTCGGTTCCCTCCTTCGTGCTTTCGGTGCGTGGACAACACACCTTTGTTTTGTGTCTGGCTCTGGAAGGAGTCCCTGCTGATGGATCCCCCAAAGTCTACAGAGCTGCCCTGTCAGTGGGCTGCAGGGCGCGCAAGGAGCGGGTGCTGGGTCAGTTGGGGAATGATCACGTGAAGTTGGCCTTAAACTTGACCTGAAAGCCCAAGTTAGGGGAGTTTGGTCAGGAGTTCCCAACCCTCATTTAGGAGCCAGTGCCCCAGGAGAGCCTGAAAAGCAAACTAAGTTAGGGAAGCGCTGCCCCGGGAGGTGGGGCTGCGCGGCCGATCAGAGTTTACAGTAAGTAAGCGAAACGTCCCAGCTACATTGAAAATGACTGGAGTCCGGGGCGAGCTTGCTGCCCGGGGAACCAGCCTGGAGGCCACCGCACGAGCCTAGCCCGGGGAGGCGGGAGGCGGGGAGGGGTCCCCGAAATGAAAGCCGGGTGCGGCTCGGTGGGTCGGGCTCCGAGGCGCGGGGATCAGAAACGCGCCTTCTTACCCGCCTCATCCGGCTGTTGGAGAGCAGATCGGCGATGCCCTTGGCAGCGTCGTTTTTCTCCGCCACGCACAGGACTCTCCGCGCCCCTCGGAAGGCCATTTCCAAAGCGGCGCGGGTCAACGCGCGGGCTCCAGGTCGTGGCAGCCGCCAACGCGCGCAGCGGGCAGCCGGGAAAATCATCCCCGGGCCCCGCGCATGCTAGGGGAGCTGGCCGAGGCCCAGCCGCCGCTCGCTGAGGGGGGACGAGCGGCTCCAGAGCCGCTCGCGTCCCGGCTGCCTCCTCACCAGCCCGCGGGGCGAGCGCCGGGCCGCGGGACCCGGGCAACTCCTCACGCTCGCGCGCGCCGTCCTCCGCCAGCCGACAGGGCAACGAGCTGGTTTCGTCCCGCGAAGTCAGCGCTCCGCGGCCCCGCCCCCTGCGGCGCGCGCGCGCACCACCTTTCCCCTGGGTACCCGGAAGTCCACGCGAACGCTTCCGGGTCACGGGCGCCAACGCCGCGGGTCACGTGACACCAAGATGGCGGCGCCGCGCTAGCTGGTGCCCGACTGTGGCGTCCCCAGAGCCGCAACGGTTTCTGCTGTCCGGTCGGGAGGGCGGCAGTCGCTTGACTGAGCCCGGCGACGGCTCGTAGTCCGTCCCTAGACACCCGTGCGGGCTGAGCTGTTAGCGGCGCGGTGGATTTTAGAGCAGCGCCGGTGACCTCGCTGCAGGTGCTTCGCGCCGCGATCGCCTCCGAGGTGGAGGGCGACCACCTTCCGTGGGTTCCGGAGCCTGACAGACCTTGGGGTACCTGAATCCGCCGAGGGCTCCGGAGGAGCGACATCTCTGTGGGAGTTTGTGTCCTCGCGTGTGCCGGGGCAGTCTAGGATTCCTCGGGGCTCAAACGAGACCACCGGGACTAAGCTTCCTCCTCCAGAGGCCCGGCTTCCCCGCGTCGATTACTGCCTTCTTTTCAGCCCCTCTCCATGTTCTCCTCACACATCTGGAAATATGATCAGCGCCCCTGACGTGGTGGCCTTCACCAAAGAGGACGAGTACGAGGAGGAGCCTTACAATGAGCCGGCCCTGCCCGAGGAGTACTCGGTGCCGCTGTTCCCCTTCGCCAGCCAGGGTGCCAACCCATGGTCCAAACTGTCCGGGGCCAAGTTCTCCCGGGACTTCATTCTCATTTCTGAGTTCTCCGAACAGGTGGGACCGCAACCCTTGCTGACTATCCCCAATGACACCAAAGTGTTTGGCACCTTTGATCTCAATTATTTTTCCCTGCGGATCATGTCTGTGGATTATCAGGCCTCCTTCGTGGGCCATCCCCCTGGCTCGGCCTATCCCAAGCTGAATTTTGTGGAGGACTCCAAGGTGGTGCTAGGGGACTCCAAGGAGGGAGCCTTTGCATACGTGCATCACCTCACCCTCTATGACCTGGAGGCCCGTGGCTTCGTGAGGCCCTTTTGCATGGCTTATATCTCGGCAGACCAGCACAAAATCATGCAGCAGTTCCAGGAGCTGTCGGCTGAATTTTCTAAAGCTTCTGAGTGCTTGAAGACAGGTAATAGGAAAGCATTTGCTGGAGAGCTTGAAAAAAAGCTGCGAGACTTGGATTACACCAGGACAGTGCTGCACACAGAAACTGAGATCCAGAAGAAAGCTAACGACAAAGGCTTTTATTCATCTCAGGCGATTGAGAAAGCCAACGAACTGGCCAGCGTGGAGAAGTCCATCATTGAACATCAGGACCTGCTGAAGCAGATTCGTTCATACCCCTATCGGAAGTTGAAGGGGTCTGATCTGAGTGCTGGGGCGGCAGAGGGCTCCTCCCAGGATCAGGCTGGACAGGCATCCACTACCTCTGACCCTGACGAGCCTGTGGACACAGAAGTGTACGCTAGCCGACCAGACTACACTCCCAAACTCATCAAAGCCAAGTCCACCAAGTGTTTTGACAAGAAGCTGAAGACCTTGGAAGAGCTCTGCGATACTGAGTACTTCACCCAGACGCTGGCTCAGCTCAGCCACATTGAGCACATGTTCAGAGGAGACCTGTGCTACCTCTTGACCAGCCAGATCGACAGAGTCCTGCTACAGCAACAGCACATCACAAATTTCCTCTTTGAAGACTTTGTGGAGGTTGCTGACAGGGTGGTAGAGAAAGAAGGTAGTGCACCCCTTGAGCCTAGTCAAGACAGGCCACCTTCCAGGTCTCTGGAAGAATGTCTGATTCCCAAAGTGTTAATCAGTGTTGGTTCTTACAAATCAAGTGTGGAGTCTGTGCTGATCAAGATGGAGCAGGAACTTGGAAATGAGTACAAGGAAGTGGAGGTGACAGAAGTGAGCAATTTTGACCCCCAGGAGAACTTGGACTATCTGGATATGGACATGAAAGGGAGTATCAGCAGTGGTGAAAGCATTGAGGTCCTAGGAACTGAGAAGTCCACGTCTGTACTTCCCAAGTCTGACAGCCAGGCTAGCCTCACAGTACCACTGAGCCCCCAGGTGGTCCGGAGCAAGGCGGTTAGCCACAGGACCATCAGCGAGGACAGTATCGAAGTCCTCAGCACCTGCCCCTCTGAGGCTCTCATCCCTGAAGACTTTAAGGCCAGCTACCCAAGTGCCATTAACGAAGAGGAAGCATATCCAGATGACAGTGAGGGAGCCATCCACTTCGAGGCCAGCACTCGCCCTCCTGCTCTGGGGGAGGCAGAAGAGGGCAGCTTAGAAAACGCTCCGTCACACACCGACTCCTCTTGCTGTATTGGGAAGGAGACTGACAGTTTGCTTGTGCCACTTCCCACTTCAGCCCTCAAGCTCTCTGATGACAATAGTGTGGTGAGCATCCCCCCACAACGCTACAGGCAGAAAGACCCAGGGTTCCATGTGGACTTTACAGTGGAAAACGTCCACCCTGCTTCCCGCGATAACAGTTCTGAAAGCTTTCCCCCTTATGAACTGGACCCTAGCTGCCTGCCGGCTAGCCGGGATGTCAGTAAGACCAGCCTGGACAACTACTCAGATTCTACCAGCTATGTTAGCAGTGTGGCCTCTACCAGCTCACATAGGACTCCTTCCTCTGCACATCCCACCGGCTTCTCTTCTGAGAGACACAAAAAGAGGGCTGGCCAGAATGCCTTAAAATTCATCCGCCAGTACCCCTTTGCCCACCCAGCCATCTACTCCCTGCTCAGCGGGAGGACACTTGTGGTCCTGGGAGAGGATGAGACCATCGTCAGGAAGCTTGTGACAGCACTGTCCATCTTTGTCCCCAACTATGGCCGCTATGCCAAGCCTGTGAAGCACTGGGTCTCCTCCCCTTTGCACATTACCGATTTTCAGAAGTGGAAGCTGATTGGCCTGCAGAGGTAACGGCACACGGAATGGGGAAGGGCTCTGTCCAGTTAGAGATGAGGGAGACCTCAAATACACATCTCTTTGTGCGAGGTAGATCCAGATTCAGGGACCTGTGGCTTCTAGATGGTTTCCTTTACCAGCTCACAGAGTTAATGTACTTTTGGTAAATCATTCCCCTTCCCTGCCCTTCGACTTCAGTGTTTGACTTGCCTTTCTAAGTGGTTTGCAACTCTGTTGTGTCAGAATTACTTGGAGAATTTTTAAAATCACAGACTCCAGGCACCATTCCTAGAGACTCTGAATCAGTTAGGGTGGGGAAAGACATTAACTTTTTCTGTATACAGCAAAATTTGAGGATAACTACACTGTAAGACTTCGAGTCCTTCCTGTAAATGACTGAGAAAAGATGTCCTCAGAGGTTGTGGTAGGTGAAGTTCTTCTGTTCTGTTTGCTCAAGGAGCTTGTCTGAATGAGGAAATGGAATAACCAGGCCCGTCTTACCCTTTGAGTACTTTAGATTTCATTTCCCTGTGCTGTGCACTTCTGCTTTGGGAGTTTCCTCTGTGCAAATACTATTTAATGAATTAAGTATTGCTAAGGGGCTATTCACAGAGCTCTGGGGGTGCTGATGGGAAGGTCGGTGATTCGGATCCACCAGTTGCGCTGTTCTTGTAAGATGTATAGCCTGGGAAACCATATGCAGTTGGAATGGACTCAGTGACAGAGGATTTGGGGTTTTTTTTGCAAGGGACTCTTAAAAAGGAGTCTGGATGGTGCTGTGTGTCAGGCACTGGGCTACTAACCACGAGGTCGGTGATTCAAACGTACCAGCTGCTCTGTGGAAGAAATATGAGGCTGCCGGCTTCTGTGCAGATTTTGTCTCAGGAACACTAGGGAACAGTTGTACTTGGCCCTATAGGGTTACTGTGAGACGTGGTAGTGGGGAAGGGCTCTTTCCCTGGGCATGCACTATGCTGCCTTCAGTCTGATGCCGCGGTTTCTTGAGCAGGGAGAATGAACATGGAACCAAACAGACACACACACACACACACTCTACTGGACTGCAGCACAAAATAGACACCGACAGAGACGTACAAACTGCAGCCCTGACGGACCACAGCGCTTTATTTTAAATACTAAATATTGGCAGTGTTCCCAGAAAAGTTTGCTATTCCCATGCTTGAATTTCTCATAGCCTTGAGCGTGAGTTCCGTATCTCAGCCTGTACCACTTTTGTTTACTTTCTACCAGGGAACGCTGTTTGCAGCTGCCTTCCCAAATTCCTTACCGTTTGCAGTAAGAAAGCAGTTTGTGAGAACCAGCTAGGGCAGACGCTAGTGCACTGTCCTAGACAGATACATGACACGAGACATGGTCCTCCTTACATGACTTCTTCACAGTCACTGCCAGACAAGCCACTTGACATTCCTTCTCTGAGCTCTGCTCTCCTTGTTGGTAAAATCAAAGTCCCTCTTGACTGCCTGCCCTTCCCGTGTTCTGTACCTCAAACCAAACTCACTGCCAGCGGATCGATTCTGACGCATAAAGTGACCCTATAGTACAGGGCAGAACTCAAACGGCCCCTGTGAGTTCCCGAGATTGTAACTCTACAGGAGTAGAACGTCCTTGTTCTCTCTCGGAGCAACTGGTGGCTTAGAACTGCTGACTTCAGTTAGCAGCCCGCTGTGTGACCACTACGCAACCAGGGAATGTAGTGAAATTTGCCAGATGAAATGAGAAATTCTTTGAATTTTTCAGGAGTAATGAGATGATCATCCCCTCTTAGGGAAGTCCCACGGAGCTTTCTCTAGCCCTTGTTGTGCTAGGTTTTACCCTGGGGTAGTCCTGAGGGTTTGAGTCCCTTGTTGAGCATCAGCTAACAGTCATGTAGCTGCGAGGGGTAGAGGGGGAGTAGAGAGGGGACGATCTGACCCTACCTCTGAACGACAATTCATTCATGGGGTGGGTTTGGGCTTCAGCATTCTAGGCCTTAGTTTCCTCCTTAGGAAGTAAGCGGCTTGGATCAGAGTGATCATTTGCCAAGTATTTACGGAGGTGTGTTGAGTGCCAGGCACTGTGCCCAGTGCAAGAATGACAAGGTGAGTCTGTCATGGCAGCAGGATGGTAGGAGGGGCACGGTCTGCAGGGTCAGCCCGGATCCCAGACACAGCTGTGTCATGGCTGTGGAACGTGCAGTTGGGCAACTCTGGGGAGGAGGTTTCCACAGCTGCAGCTGGAGCTCATAAGACCTGCCCCGTGATTAAGTCTGTCCAAGGGCCTCTCACGTTTGATCCCAACTAACTAGTGGGATCTCTCACCAGCCAGACTAAAGCACAGCCCAGAAAACAGACTCTAAACAATGACACCCCCCACCAAAGAAACCCAAAAGAAACCGAGACAGTTCCTTGAGATCTTTTCAAAGAATGCCAAATTGGGGAGTAATTATTTCTCCCGTCAAACTCTCCTTCTCAAACCCGAGTGTGCACCAATGTTAGTCATTGGGAATGGCTGTCCCAGAGGATCCTGCTCAGGCATGGGGGTGACGGGACCGCGGTCCCTGGGGAACATGTCACTAAGGATCAGCTGAGAGGCCAAGAGGAGTGAAAGTGCACTTGATACAGCTCCCCGGCCAGAGAATTCCTGGGGGAAGGTGAGCAATGGAGGTCAAGTGCTACAAGAGTTACGTCCTTGGCAGTATGGCAGACTTGGGAGGTGGGGTGAGTGCCAGCCCTAGGCTGCCCCTGGGCTGTTGTGCAAACGTCAGTCAGGTCACTTATTCCCGCATTCGCCAGAGTTCGTAAATGCCTCTGAGAGTGGGGCTGACAGTACGCACTGCCTGGAGGTGAGAGGGCTCAGGTACGTGGTGTAGAAAGCCTGGTGTAGAAAAAGGTGCCAAGCCACACCCACAGTCGCTGCCAGCACAGAGCTGAGGTCACCTTCAAGCTTCCCACTAGGGCTCTGCAATGCTTGTGCCCCCAGACACCGCCTCTGCAGTCTTTGTCTCCCACCTCTGGGACCCTGAGCTGGCTCTTGCCTGGGTCTGGAGGGCTTTCTGCTTTCTCCAATGCCACCTTGGCCATGTTTCCATCCCGTCGGGACCCTGCGTGCAGGTCTCCTCCCAACCAAACATCCCGTTTAGGACAAGAATTCCAGGCTTGTTTTCATTCCATTCACATGCGATTAATACTTGTGAGGTGTATGAAAAGAGAGCAAAACTCAAAAGGGAAAAAATGTTGGCCCCAAGTTACTGTCAGATTCTTTTAAAAAATTCCTTAGGTTTTTTTCAGAGGTGTGCTAGACAGTCTGATCATCTGGCTCTTTCTCAGACTCTGTAGAAGTGGTTCTCAACTTTCCTAATGCCGTGACCCTTTAATACAGTTCCTCATGTTGTGGTGACCCCCAACCATAAAATTATTTTCATTGCTACTTGATAGCTGTCACTTTGCTACTGTTAGGAATCGGGCGACCCCTGTGAAAGGGTCATTCGACTCCCAAAGGGGTCACGACACACAGGTTGCAAACTGCTGCTTTACAAGATCATGCCAGCCTTGCGAAAACTAGTCTAGAGGAGGCAGTTTACGAAGCAGCATGTTAAGGCTGACCACTTTGACTTTCTCTCTTCATGGGAGCATGCTTCCTGCCTGTATCAGGCAGTGGGGGCCTCTGACCCAAGCAGCCCTGACCCTACCTTTAGAAGTACCCTGGTAAGTGCCAGGCTGTAAGTAATAGTAATGATAATCAGGGCTAGCACTTAGCTCCTAGTAAGAGCCAGGAAGTATAGCTCGAAAGCTCCTTAGAGCAGCAGTTCTCAAGCTGTGGGTCGCGACCCCTTTGGGTTGCCCGATTCCTAATAGTAGCAAAATGACAGTTATGAACTAGCAACGAAAATAATTTTATGGTTGGGGAGGTGGGGGTCACAACATGAGGAACTGTATTAAAGGGTCGCAGCAGTAGGAAGGTTGAAAACCACTGCCTTAGAAGCAAGGTTGGCGAGACTTAGTCTCACATACTTGGCACATGTTACCAGGAGAGAGCAGTCCTTGGAAAGGACATCATGCCTGTTAAAGTAGAGGGACAGCAAAAAGGAGGAAGGCCTTTTTGGGGATTGACACACTGGCTGCAGCAACGGGCTCAAACATGAGAACGATTGTGAGGATGGGGCAGTGTCTTGTTCTGTTGTACATCGGGTTACTCTGAGTCACAACAGACTCGGCACCTCACAACAAGGGTCCAGGCACCACTGTGAGTACAGCTCATTTAATCCCAGCAGCAACCTCATAAGGTGTAGGTACTGTTAGCCTCCGTCCTGTAGATGAGTCTCTAAGAGGCTCAGCAATGTTGCCAAAGTCACACAGCAAAGAAGAGGCCCGCGCATAAGAGACATTTATTCCAGGGTGCAGGTGCGGGAAGGCTGGGAAAAGTTCCCAGTGACCAGCTGGAATAAAGCAAGTACAAAGGGTGATTCTAGGCAGGATAAACAGCTCCAGGGCTTGAGGCCCTACAGAAAGTGCAGCCCAGGTAGGGAGCCCATGGGTGAAGCCTCAGATGTGACTAGGAGTCAGTCCAGGAAGGGCTTGCAGGCTCTGCCTAAATGTTTGGAGCTATCTGAAAATCACGGTAATCAATCGGATTTGTCTTCCAGAAAGTCAGCAAGTGCTGGTGGGTGGAGCTGCCTCTGCCTCTGTCCTCTGCTCTTCACTTCCTGCTGACCTGTGCTTGTCTGTTTCAGAGTGGCCTCCCCTGCCAGTGCTGGCACCCTGCAGGCCCTGAGCCGCTATAGCCGCTACACGAGCATCCTGGATCTGGACAACAAGACCCTGCGCTGCCCACTGTACAGAGGTACCCTTGTGCCCCGGCTGGCTGACCATCGCACCCAGATCAAGCGGGGCAGCACCTACTACATGCATGTCCAGAGCATGCTCACCCAGCTCTGCTCCAAGGCCTTCCTGTACACCTTCTGCCACCACCTGCATCTGCCTGCCCAGGACCGGGAGACACAGGAACTGGTGGCCAGTCGCCAGATGAGCTTCCTAAAGCTGAATCTGGGCCTGGTGAATGAGGATGTTAAAGTGGTTCAGTACCTGGCTGAGCTGCTGAAGCTGCAGTACATACAGGAGTCTCCGGGGATTGGCCACCCCGTGCTCAGGTTTGACTATGTCCCCAGCTTTTTGTATAAAATCTGAGGTTGGTCCCAGCCTTGTGACCAAGACCTGTGACTCAGGGCAGAGAGGTTTTGGGAGGGGAGCGTGGTTGGCCTGACCAAGCAGTTAACCTGAGCTTGATTGCTGATAGACTTCTGGTGGCATCAGCGGGAAGGAAATCAAGTGGACCACTGTGACTCTTAGGATTCTGGGCAGCTGGAAGGATGGCTAAGGGCGGAGAGGAGAGCCTGGTTCTCTCGGAAGATGTCTGGAAGGGCAGTAACAGGCACAAGATTGGGGGTGGCCCTTGGCTTCCTGAGAACTGGTACCAGTGAAGGAGAATCAGCAATCCCTCAGGTGGGTGGGCAAGGCGTGGGAGACCAGAGGCTCAATGGAGAAGCTCAGTCATGATCAGCACCTGCTGACACAGGGGTGTCAGAATGAGCAGGTGGAAGTCGGAACCACAGAACACACGGCCTCATTCACACCCAGCTGGAACCCCTGAACAAGTGAGGACGAGGGGTGAGCTGGCCCCCCAGCTGCAACGTCTGTGGACCTCACAGCTTTCTGGGCCCTGCACTGCAGAGAATGAGAGAAGGGGTGAGCACTTCCTGTCCTGGTTTCCTCCCTCAGAGATACCGGCAAACACGATGTCTGGGCCTGAGCTGCTGGGTCCTGATGGAAGAGGCTGTGCTCTGAGAGGCAAAGCACCCAGGGGCAGGCAGGGCAGGGCTGCCTGCGGCTGTCCCCACTGTCCTCTTCATTACGGGTGTGCTGCACCCACCAGTCTTTCCCGCCAGAGGGAGCCATCACTTTCCTTTCATAAAAGGTCTGCAGAAATATTCAAAATCAGCAACAGCCCCCCACCCCGGCCACCCCCCTCTCACACACTCTCCAGTCCGCTCATCTTGCAACCACAGTACTACCTCGCATGGATGGGGTCTGACAGCATTTTGCCCACTCCCCAGCAGTGATTGTGGGAGAGATTTCCTGTAGAAGCCAGGCTCCTTTCTCTGCCTCCACTGCCCTTCCCCACCTAAGTCCCATCTTCACAGAAGGCATTTTGCCACTAAAGAAAGTCCACCCATTCTCCCCGCTTACCCACCTCGACCATGACCTGCAGCCCTCCCTCCTCCCAGTGGTTCCTTGTAGGATCAACACCAAGCCTGTCAAGGGAGGAGTTCCTATAACTGCGGTTTTAGAGCATTTTTTAAAAGCGGGTTTTCCCCGTAATTGGGGAAAACTTCAGGTCTTACTGCTGCTTCTTAGTTTGTTCCGAGACAAAAGGTGATGGCTGGGCCTGAATCGGCCGCAGTGGCTGCTCCTGGCCATGTGTACATGTGCATTTACTGAGCACTGCCTGCAGTGTCACTGGCCCACCTTTGGGTAGCACCATTGAGGTCACCGAGGGATGCCGCACATAGCCAGGGCCTGCTTGCCACCCTCCGTCACACAGGTGTCTGCACAGAAGCACTGTGGGCGTCCAGCCAGCAGCCCCTCTTCCCTTGCAGGGCAGTGGCTCTGCACGAGGCTGCCATCAAGACCTTTTGTGGCAGATGGCATTGCCCACACTGCATCACTCCCTTTGTACCTGTGCCCCTCTGTGTTCACAGACGGGTGGCTGCCGTCTCGCTGTGAAGTGTCCACTGTTTGCACAGAAGGCCAATTCTGCCGTCACCTTCCCCTGTCGCCCTGCCCCTCCCTGGTATTTAAGTGCTGCTTCATTCCTAACTGGGTAGTCAACAGCTGTCTCATGCATCCGAGGGCATGGCGGTGCACTGTTTTATCTTAAAGGTCTGTGGAGTCCAAGCGACAAGAACGTGACTGCTGGCACTCCCACCACTGTTTTGTCCCCACGCCTGCAGCAACGTGGACGCCTGCACTCACGGGGCTGCTCACTGAGAAACGCACAGGCAGCCGATTCGCGTCTGGCCAATGCTGAAATGCAGCCATCCTGGGCCTTCTAGAAGAGCTAAAGCCGTGCCCTGCAGTGATCTCTGCGGACAGCTGCTTTGAAGGGTGTTCGCCCAGAGACCCGAGGGCAATTCAGAAGGTTGACAGGGCTCTCAGTAAAAGACCAGTTAGGGTGAACAGAGCTGTTTTCCTGTGCACAGAGGGGCAAACCAGGAGTGTATCTCACCTGAGTTCTCATCACTGGGAAGGTGGCATTGCTGAATACTGAACAGTAGTTGATCCGCAGGATTTCACGTTGGTTAAAAAAGTACCTTTTTGGTGTGGCAGTTTCAAAGGATGACTGGATGCCAGAAACCTAGTTCATGAAGGGGTGCTGATCCGAGGCTTGAGTTCAGGCAGAGGTGTTCAAAGCCTCGCAGCTCTGCTTCCTCCCAGCCCGGCGCCATTCAGAGCTACTAGGAAAGTCTTGCATCTAAAACTGTCGGCAGTGGGGAGACCGATGCATTGGGGCTGATCTTTCCCAGAAATTCCACTGGTGGTTTTTCCTTTAGAAATAGGTGAATAAGTCATAATAAAGCATCCAAAAAAAAAAAAAAGTTTCAGAAAACAACAGTGCCTGCCATTTATGACTTCTTGAGTCACCACTGTCATGTTCTAGGCCAGGCACTGAAACCCCGTGCTTGTCTGAGGTTTATTTCAACTTCACTTAGAAGCTGTTACCCGCCTCCTGCCCACCCCCTTTGACGAGTTGTCCATGGGAAGAGGAGACTGATCAACTCGCAGTGAGGCCCTCGTGGTTTTAGAAGCTCCATTGTAGCCATCGAGCCCGTGTGATAGGTAACCCTAGCCTGACACCTATTTTCCTGGAAGCCTTTGCTCCCATGGCGGAGATAGGGGATTTTAGAAGTTGAGACCTTTCTGTAATCTAGGATGAGGCTGGCAGCACAGGATGGCCCACTGTAGCTCACCTGCCACCCCTACCCTTCCTGGCATTTGTTTCAGACTAGTGACTCTGCCCAAAGCGTTGTTGGTTCAGTCCCAGTCTCCTGTCCAAGCCCCAGAGGCTGAGGGATGTGCCTTCCCGGCCACTGTTGGGGCTGCTGTGGCTCCCGCAGTGTTGCTCAAGGCAGAAAACACTGCACACTGGACATCTTGTGTGCAGACTGCCCACGTCACCACTGCAAACATGTTCCCCACCCCCAGTGTGGCATGCCCAGCTAGCCTCTAGTGGCGCTGTCTGTCTGCAAGGCAAGCAGCTCATCTTTAGTGGAGAATTTGTGGTGGGTGTGCCTAGCCATGGGAGGGACTGGCCTTCCTCTGGGAGCAATCTGATGGGTCTGGCTTTTGCCCCCCCCCCCCAAGGACACCAGCCAACGGTCTGCTGCCTCCCAACTGTAGTATAAAGGGACCAGATCTGGGGTCCCTTCTGGGCTGTCCCTATTGAGCACTGGTGTAACCCATCTTTATCAGGTTGGATGAAGCCGCAGGGAGGCAGACAAGCGGGAGGTGTTGAAACTGGGCAGCAAACCCACCTGGAAGCATGGGACCTGGCTCAGCTACTGTGAAGGGCATGCACTCTGCCCCATACAGTAGGGCCTCCTGGCAACATCCCCACCGCCGGGGCCTAGTCAAGGCCCTCAATGGTGATGTTCTGGCAGCATAACAGTGCTTCCCTTGCAGGCTGAGATCCGGAGTTTGGCACATCCCGGTGACTGCAGCATCTGCCCTGCCCCCCCAGAGTGAGAACCACCCAGCATCACTGGGCCTGTGCTGCATGGTGACGCTGGGGAGGCAGCGCTACAGGGCACGCCTCTGACCGACATGGGTGGACATGCAGGCTCAATGGAAGTCAATGCTGCCTTAAGGTCGCGGTGAAAAACAGTCTGGGATGAAGTCATGTCTTGTGACTTTTTTCGAAAGCGATTTTATCACTGCATGTTTCTCTGTCCTGTTGGGACTGCCTCACCATGCTAGCAGCGCCAGGTTCTCACGAAGTGGCCCGTGGGAGGGGTTCACCTGACGTGCGTGGTTCCATTTGATAGGTGTCGCTGGACAAGAGTTTAACCAGAGGAAATGCCAAATAAATAGTATGAGAAGTGTACTTTTTGAAAAATTTAATTTATTTGAGTTCAGCTATTTTTGAAATACAAAAAACTGGTTGTATTTTTCAAAGCTATCATTCCTGTAGATGTTCAGTGATTAAAAACTTATGGCCACCCATGTTTTGACCTCAGCTTTGTGAGAAATCACGTTTCTGTGGGAAGGCGAGGAGGCGATGTTTAGTCTCCTGACTGACCACAGAAGGCTCTCCCTGCTGCTGAGATGCCTGCGGGGGTTGGGGGAGGATGCTCCTGGGGCACTTGGCCACTCTGCCCCCAGGCCTTGGTGGATGTGGAGGGCTAAGATCACCGGCTGTTGTCGCACCACCTTTGGGGTGGCACCTTGCATGGCTCGTCTAACTTGGGGCTCTGGTTCAGTGAACACAGCACAGAGGAGCAGCTGCAGACCTCCCATCTTTCCTTAGAGGGATCCGGATCCTGCTTTCCTTGGGTAACCCTGTCAGGGGACCAGAATAGTGAGAATGGGCAGCTCTGGCCAGCTTGCCACCTTGGCAAGTGTGATCTGCCACAGCAAGTCCAGGGAAGGCCCAGTAACCATCAGAATGCCGAGTCTAAAAGTTTTGCCTGACACCTATGTCCATCCAAGTCCAAGGGCATGAAGGCCAACTGGCTTCACAGTATTTCCTGTGTTCTAAGAGTCGGGGGGAATAGCTGTGTGACATTGCGGTTTAAATTTTTTTTTTCTCATCGCGGTTTAAACTTAAGCCCTTTAACAACCTGCCCCAGAATCAGTGTCCCAGAATAGTCGTTACACCCACCATGATTTGTGAAGAAGATACCTGAAGAGGGCTCAGAAGCGAGCCCACTCCGAGGATACAGACTAGCGACTAGGGTCCCTACCGGGGCAGCTCTTTGGCTCCTTGGTGGTGCCCACCCTCCCGGCTCTGTGCTGCACTAGGGGAGGGAGACAAGGAGCAGGCAGCCCCTTTAGGAGTCAGGCAGGCCAGGCAGAGGGAAGAGGGCAGCAAAGCTCTCCACATCCTTCCGGAGGGCACTGACGGCACGCTGGTGCTTCTCGTCACCCGCCAGCTTCTCCCGGAATTCCTTCAGGGTGGCCTTGGTGCCCATCTCTTTCTGAATCTGCAGCGTCAGCTCTATCCCTGCGTTGGAGAGACACAAAGGCACCTGGGCTAGCAGCTGTGCTCCCGCTGCGGCCACCGCCCCGGGGGCAGAAGAGAAGCACGGTGCTTGGAGGCAGGAAAGGGGAGATCGGGGCCTGAGTCCCAAGCACATCTGTCACAATGTCCTCCTCTAGGCGCGAATGCGGACCTCAGCAAAGATTCTTGGAGACACACTTCCTTGGGCAGACACCAGAACCAACGGAAGGCCCTCAGAATGCTTTGCTCAAATGATTGTGGCTCTCCCCTGGCCCTGACACTTGACCTCGAGACCGAAACGTCCTCCGTGGCTGCTGCTGGGCACCCCCGTGGTCATGTTCTGAACCGCCACCAGGCAGACCCCCGCTTGGTGCCCCTTACCTCTGTGGATAAAGTGGGCGACTTGCCGGAATTCTTCTTCCAGGAGTCCTCGGGACGTCAGTGCCGGGGTGCCCAGTCTCAGTCCACTGGGCCGGAGGGCGCTTTTGTCCCCTTTCAAGATAAATGGGGTTCCGTCCTTAATCACCATCCAACTTGCGACCAAGCATGTACCCATGGCCCTGGGGTACAGACTGGGTCTAGCAAGAGGAGTACCACGGACTCAGACTAGGGGCCAAGCCCAGCCATAGGAAGGAGGAACACATTTGGGTGCCTATTTATTTAAAATTTTTTAATCATTTTACTGGGGGGGGCTCTTACAGATCTTATGACAATCCATCATCCAATTGTACTAAGCACACTTAGACATATGTTGCCATCATCACTTCCATACCATTTTCTTTCTGCTTGAGCCCCTTGGGTGCCCCATTTTTAAATGGAGCCCTGGTGGGCTACGCACTGCAGGGTCAGCAGTCAAACCGCCAGCGGCTCTGCAGAAGATAGGCTTTCTAGTCCCTTAAAGAGTTGGTCTCAGAGACCCGTAGGGGCAGTTCTCCCCTGTCCTCTAGGGATGGCAGCAAGTTTGTTTTCAATCGTAATCAGGCTGAAGATGATGCTGACACCTGGCTGGTCCGGGGGCACATCTCAAACATTTTCTTAAGCCACGTGCCTACTTAGCCCCCACCTCCTCTCACACAAATGAACATGCTTCTCCAAGAACCCCATCCTAGGCTGACCTGCTCCCGGCCAGGGTGACGGCCGAGTCTGTAGGAGGGCCCAGGAGAGCGCCTGGATTTAGTTCCCAGGCAGGATAGTGTAACTCCCCTCAGCGGCCCTGGAGAAAGGCAGGCAGGAGATGGGTGGAAGAGGCCAACGAGGAGTCTCACCTGGACAGGTGTTCTTGTTGCAGGCAATAGAACAGGCTTCCAGCACCTTCTCAGCCCTTCCGCCATCAGTGCCTTTGGACCGGAGATCCACAAGAATCAAATGGTTGTCAGAGCCCCCTGGAAACAAAGGTGGGTCTAGAGCAGCAGGCAGACGTCGCCAAAGGGAGAGAAACCGAAGAAACGTGCGAAGGAGATTGCAGCAGATGTGGTCGAACGAGGAGTGAGCATCTACCACATCCTCCAGGAGATTTTCATCCCATGCCAAAACCACGCGGTGGGATGGTTCTGTTGTAGAATCCTCACCTTCCATGTGGGAGACCTGGGTTTGCTGCCTGGCCAGTACACCTTGCGTGACCACTGCCCTGTCAATGGAGGCTTATGATCTGCTATGGTGCTGAGCAGACTTCAGAAAGGCTTTCACCCTGACAGACTAGAACAGCCTGGCAGTCTACTCCCAACAATCGGCCAATGAAAAACCCCCGTGGCTCACAATGGTCTGATCTGCAACTGATGATGCAGCAGGTGCAGACCTGCCGGCCGTTGTACATGGGGTCTCCGCCACTTGGGGGCAGACTCAGTAGGAGCTACCACCAGCAGCTCACGAAAACAATACTCCAAAGGCTAGGAATTTGAGAGAGAGGGCAAAGTAGTTTAAGACGAGGTGATCAATCAGAGGAGGGACAGGAGGCTGAGCGGTAAAATGTCCGCTCTAGCAACAGCATGCTCGGTGTGGCATCTGATTTCTCCCAGGTTATAATGGGCGATTTCGCAAGTGTCCCTGAAAGCAGTCAAAGGCCACCTGTATGGCCTAGTTAGGGACGTGCACAGGCCATGCTGCCACCGCCTCTAATGGTGGCAGAGCAGCTCTGAGTCACCCTTCGCCTACCCAGCCGCGGTGCTGGTCTGTCACGGTTCACCCTGCCTCCTGCATGGAGGTGAGGCGTTGGGGGGGGGGGGGGGGGGGGGGGGGGAGACACTGAGGCAGAGAGAGCTCTGCAGAACCAACCCATGGTCGCGCAGGGGCCCGTCCACACTTGCACCCACTTTTTGAGCTTCTGGATCTTCCCACACAAGACTTGTTAAACCAGGGCTCTTGACCAGGTGGCAATGGGGCTCTTGCCGCACTCAGCCTCTGGGGCGTGTTTCCAGGAGGCGCAAGATACAGCTGAAACCAAGAGCTTAGCACCAGAGCCTCCAGGCCCAGGGTGCCCGTCTCAGCTCTGCTGTGTCAAGAAGCCCAACGTTTTGGACCCTCAGATGCCCATTTGCAAAACAGACCATCAGTTCACAAGGTTGTCGGGAAGCCTGGATAAGGCAGTGGATCTTGTGCTTACAGCCCCGGAATCCCTAGGGCGCACTCCTCTGTCCGGCAGGGTTGCTAAGTGCCACAGTCAATTCTGTGGCAGTGGGTAGGTGTGGCGTCAGAATGTACCAACTGGGCTAGTGTTGGGATCACCATGACCTCATGTTTTCAGGAGACAGAGCGAACAAAGAGAAGAGTGACCAGAGCAAAAGTGGGCCAGCGAGGCCACAGGGGTGGGGAGACTCTCTTCAATCACCAGGGGGCTGCCAAGCCTATTCTCAGATGTCTGGGGTTGGGTGGGGGGGGTGTTTGGGAAAGAGTTTGGCCTACAACCTTGCATCTCCAAGTGTGGTTCCCAGACCACACGTGGGTCCCCGCCACTGCCACTGAGCCAATTCCAACTCACAGCGACCCTACAAGACAGCAGAACAGCCCCTGTGAGTTTGCAAGGCGTCCCACATCTTCATCGGAGCAGAAAGCCTCACCCTTCCTCCGAGTGGCTGGTAGGTTCTAACTACTGACCTGCGGTCATTGACTCGCTAGGTAACCTGCTACACTGCTAGCACTCTTGATCCGAATCCGAACCTACCTTTTAACCAGAGCCTGGGGGTCTCACGTGGCTGTCTAAGCTTGACAAACAGTGACCTGGGATCCCCTCTACCTTCACCCTCAGCAAGAGACCTTACCTTGGGAACGCGTGAGGCAATTCCATACAGCAAGCCTCTCCAGCCCTGCCTTCTTCCAAATCCGAACCCTGCCACAAACGAGCTGCAGGGCGTTCAACCTCTGACCCTCAGAGACATATATACTTACCTTTCTTCTCAGAGCTGCTAACTAACGACGGCGCAGAGGGAGCCAGCACTGTCTGAGTGAAGGGGAAGCCCTCTAGCCCGAGAGCGTGCTGACTTGGGGAGTGGTCCTAAGCCCTCACATGGCTGATGAGAGAGGATCTCTGACAACTGCCCATAGACCACCCTGTGCTGGGACGAGGTCGGGGGCACCTGGCGAGGGTCGGGGCTGCCACACAGCACAATACTGCTTTTGTGAGTTACCTGTTACGATGCTGTAACCCAGCTCTGTCAGGGCCTGGGACAGGGCCTTGCAGTTGGCCACCACCTGGTGCTGATAAGCTCGGAACTCCGGAGTCATGGCTTGCTTGAGGGCCACAGCAACCCCTGGGTGGGAGGAGAGAACGGTCAGCAGACTAAGACAGCGTCTGCGGACAGAGCACCGGTCAGAACAGTCGCCTGCTTCTACTCGAGCCACCTTGCTTCTCCACGTCACTGAAGACAAGGGGTGATTTACAACGGATTTCTCGTAAAATGAGCCTTCTTTCTAATCCTACGAAGCCCGGGCTACACCGTCAGCTCTTTACTGGAAACATTTTCTCTCTCTGCGGAGCCACCATGATCTTGGAAAGACCTCGTCTCAATTCCCCATTAAAAAATAAAAATAAAAAATACCCAAAAAAGGTTTTCCCGTTGTAGCGATTTCTAAGTGTACATTTCAGTGACACTAGCGGCGTTTGCCACGCTGGGCAGCCATCACCAACATCTTCTTACCACCAGTGCAGACAGACACTCGGTGGTCCTTCAGCAACAACCCCTCACCCCTGGGTAACCACCGGTCACCGCGTGTCTGTGCGCGTCGGGCTAGTCTGGATATTGGCTGTATGTGAGATCACGTGTGATCTCCAGTGGTCTGGATATTGGCTGTATGTGAGATCACATGTGATCTCCAGTGGTCTGGATATTGGCTGTATGTGAGATCACGTGTGATCTCCAGTGGTCGTCTCCAGTCTGCAGCGTGCTGTGGCACACACACGGGGAAGACCAACTCCTTGGTCTTTGGGGCTGAGTGTATTCCACTGGGTGGACAGACCGCGTTTTGCTTCCCCGTTCAGCTGTTGATGGGCGGCACATGGGTTGTGTCTACCTTCGGGGTGTTGTGAACAATGATGTGGCAGAACCGCTACAAAGGGGACTCCCCGCCCTGCCCCCCAGCACAGGTTAAGTGCTAATAAGATGACCTCAGATAAAGCTGTCCTAGGGACAAGATGAACCATGTAACCCTTTTCCAGCCTGGTGTGAGAATAGGATTGCTCAACGGCCGGGAGGCAGCTCTGATGCCTGGCTCAGAGTCCACTCGTGGTGTGGTCCTACTTCGCTCTGCACCACCAAGACCACCTCTGGAACCTACGGGCGGTTCTGAGAGCCACACAGGGGCACCGACGACTGGAGGGCAAGGAGAAGGACGTATGCCCAAAGCCTGGCACGGACGCCGCCGCTCAGTGTCTGTGGGCCTGAAGGCCCCCCTGAGGTTGAAGAAATGTGAGAACCCTCTTGTGCACCCAGACTCCTGTCCACCTGTTCATGCCCTTTCCTTACTGCTCCCACCCCTCCTTTCTTAGTTTTTTATGTTGGGGTCAGGAAGTACCATCTGCTGGTGGACATAGATCAGGAAGGACACCGGGCTGCCAAGACCTTCATGAATGCAGGGTCCGGCACGTGTCCAAGGGGCCACGACTGACTCCCTGACCCCCTGGGATGAAGTGCTTTGCAGCCACCACGTCCTCAAACCCATCAGCATTAAACTTGGTGGACGAAGCCCCACTTCTTAGACATGTGGGTCTTCTGC